TATAGTTTACAAAGGTTTAATAAAGCACACCTAACTAACCTGACAGAGGGTTAATTTAAAAAAAAAAAAAAATAATATAAATTATATAATTAACTCTTTCTGTTGATCCTCTGACCACACACAAAAAAAAAATGTTCACAAGAAGTTTTTATACTTCTTTGCTAATAAAGTCTTAATATTTTCTTTAAAACAACTTTAAGTATAGTTTCAAGAGTCATTTCTATACTTTCTTCTTTTGTTTATAAACCTCTTCACTCAAAAACTTGACTTCTAATGATCAAAAAAAGTCAAGTAATACTTTTGATACCAATGGCAAGAAAGTTCTCAAAGGAAGAAGAACCAACTGTGAAGTACCTGAAGGCTTATCTAACCTTTGAAATGAGAGGTATTTGATGATAGAAGAGCTTATTTTTCTTCTTCCAGTCTCTTGTAGGCCTCTTAGAGCTATCACTTTTATGGTTTTCTGGGGAATTTTGCCTACCTTAGTTTGACCCTGAATTTTGGATAGCACAAATTCTCACCAAAGGTAATTGGCTGACATGAAACACATTAGTTTTTGGAATGTAAACAAGCTCTTATTGGTTATATCATATGTTTTGATGATGTTATTGGTGATTGGAAAAAAGGTTCTGGAAACATTTGATCTCAAAAAGCTTAAGTTCTTTAATAAAAACTTTCATGCCACCAAAAGATCAAATGATAAGTAATGTGAATTGCAAACTTCTATCACTTATCTAAGTTTCTCAAGTGGTGACAAAGCTTTAATGAAAAAAAGCTGAGGTTTAAATGCTTTTCTTGAGATATTCCAATCCGATGCTCACTTAAATGAAAAATCAATTGAATTGACTTGTCCAATATTACAGGTAATGAAAAAGAAGATTTCTTCTGAGATTCAAGTGAAGCAAAAAAATCATTCCAATTAGGTAGATCCCTTTTGAGAAGAGGTTGTTTTTATTTTTGAATTTTTTTGGTGGGCCTTAAATTGTTTCCTTTTCTCAATTATTTTTTCTCTTTCCCTTTTTAATTTAGCAATTTATTGGTTTTTGGACAATTAACAGTGATAAACTGTTAGCAATGATTCTGATAGATAGAGATTATTACTAATCTATTAGATAAATATAATATTTTTCTCAAAATCTGACTTAAAATACTTTTGTATAAAAAAATCTGACTTAAAATACTTTTGTATAAAGATAAATTAGACACTTTGTGAAAGTTATAAAATATTATAAATTTATTTTAATTTTTCAATAAAGACAAGCCATCATAGCATAATTGCAGGTTAAAAAAAAAAAATTTAATAATAATAATATAAATTATATATTATACAGTATATTATATTATAGTTTGTAATATTCTTAATTTTATAAATATAACTTTAATTTAGTAAAATTTATTTATAAGTTTATTAAGTTTATCAATTTTTTTATTTTATGACTAATAAATAATTGTCGAATTTTTAATAAATAGTTTTAATAAATTGTTGCAAAATTTTTAATAAATAGTTGCTAAATTTTTAATAAATTTTTGCTAAATTTTTAATAAATTTTTGATAAAATTTTAATGAATAGTTTTGATAAATAATTAACAAATTATTAATAAACTATTAATAAATTTTTGATGAATTATTAATAAATTAATATCAGATTTTTATTGAATTGCTAATAAATAATTTTGTGATAAACTTTTATTGAATTGTTAATGAATTTTTACTAAATAGTTAATGAATTATTTGAAAATTTGTTAATAAAATTTTTGATTAATTGTTAATTAATTATAAATAAATCAATTTTTATAATATTTATAATCAAATTATATAATTATCAATTTATTATATTATTTTTTTATTGAATTATTTATTTTTTTACTGAATATTATATAAGTGGCAGTATATCAAATAATTTTTTTTTAATTAGTAATATGGTACTATATTTATCTCTTCTATTCTTTTTTTTATAATATAATTAATATTTTGTAATATTTTGTATTGTATTTTTTGAATATCTAAAACATTTTTATAAACTACTTTTTTAATCATTGTTAGTACTGCAATAGAATAAAATATTTCAATATTATATTGTATTCCTTTTTTTTTTGTTTTAATTTTCTCAAGTTACTTGATTTTTTTCATTTTTTATTATTATCTATAATTTTTTCTATTTATTTTAATTAGATTTTATTTTGAAATATTCTAATTTCTATTTTATATAGTTTTCTCTTCAGAATCATATAAGCTACTTTGGTTATTCTTTTGAGAGATTTTTAATTATTATTATAATTTGAAACTATTCTAGTATAGATTTGTTACTTGTATTTTATAAAAATTGAAATATTTATCAATTTCTTATTTTCTGGATTTTTTGATTGACTAGTTGATCCGGGGATATTTGTTGATTATTTTTAAATGATTATATAATTTTTTTATATTTTTCTAATGTAAGGTATTTATCAATTCAATTGTTTTCTTTTCTTTATTCAAAGGTATCTTGCTATTTTTAACTATAAAATACTATTCTTATATTTTTTTTTATTTTGATTACTTGAAATATAAAATTACTTTTGTCTATTAGATGACTTGGTAATTTGCAGGTTAATAAATTAAGTGATTTTTAATTTTTGATTAGATTTTTTTTATTTATATTTACTTTATAATATATTATAATTTAATTAATTATTGTTATATAAGTATTATAATAATAAAAAACTCTTTTTGCTGATCCTCTGATCACACATAAAAAAATGTTTACAAGAAGTTTTTATATTTCCTTGCTAATAAAGTCTTAACATTTTCTTTAAAACAATTTGAGGTATTACTTCAAGAGTTACTACTACCCTTCCCTTATTGTTTATAAATCTCTTTACTCAAAAACTTGACTCCTAATGATCAATAAAAGTCAAGTCATACCTTTGATACTAATGGCAGAAAAGTTTTCAAAGGAAGAAAAACTGATAATAAAGTACCTAAAGGCCTATTAGATCTTTGAAGCAAGAGGTTTATAGAGGTTTTCTGCAATAAAAAGACTTATTTTCTCTCTTTTCGACTATCTTGGTTCTCTTAAAGTTTTCACTTTCATGGTTTTCTGAATAATTTTGTTTATCTCAGTTTGACCCTGAATTTGGATAGCACAAATCCTCATCAAAAGTAATCGTGTAACACAAAATATACTAGTTTTTGAAATATAAACAAGTTTCTATTGGTCACACTCATATATTTCATTATATTATTGGTGATATAGAAAAGAAAATTCTAGAAAAAGTGTTTCTCCAACTATATATAGTATATTCAATCTCCAGAAAACAATTATAATATTGAAAGATAAGCAATGGATAGGTAAACAGATCTAATTTCCATCTCTTATTAAGTTTTTCAAGGAGTAAAAAGACTTTCTTGGACAAAAGCTGAGGTCTTCAAGCTTCTATCCCAGTTAGGCAAAGTTCTTGAAAAGATTTCTTTATCCCAATCAGACAAACTCTTCCATAATATGTGACTTTACTAATAATAAGCAAATCTGTATATTGGTAGAAGAATAAGTTCCTCAAACATTCTTCTTGAAGTTACTTTCAGAAATGACTAAGTTCCTTAAACATTATAAAGCTTAGAGAATATCCCAATCAAGCAAACCCTTTTCGAAAGAAAACTGTGAAATAGAGTAAGAACCTTTTGAAGGGCTTTGATTTGCATTCCCCTATTACTTTTTCCCAGTGCCAACTTTAGCAATTCATCGTTTTTCGGGATAATCAACAGTGACAAACTGTTGGCAATGATCCTGATTGACTTAGAGGCACTATTGCCAAGCTACTAGGAAAATGAAATATTGTTTCTTAAATTTGATTTAAAGTACCTAGTTTAGACTTATTATTTAATTTGAACTAGTTTAGTGGACTCCTCATATTTTTTAAGTAGTGTAGTCCTTTAACTAATAATGTATAATGATGAGTTAGTCACTTTGTGAAAGTCTGTAAAATATTTAGATATTTCTTAATATCTCAATAAAGACATGCTATTGTAGCATGATTGCGGGTTAAAAAAAAAAAAATAAAATAAAATAAAGGTTGAGCTGATATTTTTAAAAAAAAAAAGAATTTGATAAATTATTAATAAATTATTAATAAAATTTTTATTAAATTGTTATTAAATAAAGTATTGATAATTTTTATCAAATTGTTAATAAATTATTAATTAATTATATTGTTTAATATTTTATTAATATTTTATTAACAATTTATTATTGAATATTTAATTATCACTTTATTACTAAAATAATAATAATATATTATATGTCAAATGGTATTATAAAACTAATTTTTTGTCAATCTTTTTATTAATAATTTAACTATTGAATATTATAATTTAAACTAATATTTTTTTTTCTATTTAAAAAATTATTTATTTTATATTTTTATATTTTTTTAATATATTGTTTAAAGATAGATACTTATTATTTTTTAGAGGTTTTTATTACTTTTATCTCAACTTATTTTGGACAGCAATAATAATATAATAATATTTTTCTACTTCCGTTTAATAATATTTTAAAAATAAAATTTTTCATAAGATAATTATAACTAAAATCAAAAAATTTCTTATAAAATTTTATTCTAAATTAAACTCGATTAATATTTCATTACACAAATTAATAAATTAATAATATTTATATTATTAAATAAATTATTAAATAAATAAATTTATAAATATTAAATTTAAAATAATTAATATACAAGATTTTTAAAAAAAATATTTTTAATAATATGCTTTTACTATAATTTGTATATCTTGAATTAATTTTAAAAATTTTTTCTTATAAAAAAATTATAGCTATAAACTAACAATCCAATTAATAATAATAAATCATGGAATTTATTGATTAGCTTATGCTTCAGGCTTTATTATACTTTATAACTCTAGTTCTCACGTGCTCACAAAGAAGCCGAAAAAATAGAATTGGATTATTGGTTCGAAGAATTTCTGTATAGCCTAATGCCAAAGCAATCAATTCTAGAACTTTTGATAAGCTTCAGCCCAAACTTTCAAATCCCATGGCGAACATCCTTTAATCTCCACAACCTTCAGTCGTAGAAATTTGGCATCCACCAATACCTTGACTAAATCATTGGTCAATCCCCAACACCAATTAAACTTCAACACTTCCAAATTAAAACAAAATGTCAAAACATCCAGGTCTTCTCTCGATTTGAACCACATTTCCTGAAATTCGATGCATCGCAAAGAACTAACCTGACTGCCTATAGCCTCCCGAAACACGTGTTTTCGAAAGTTGGCGTCACAGAGGTATCCCGTTAGTTTTAGGGATTTCAATGATTGTTGGGAGGCGATTATGTATTTTAAGGCGGTTGTTTGGGTCTCGGAAATTGAGTAAGTATTCTTCCCAACTACATCTTCTTTTTGAACGTGTAGGAAGTCCTAAATATAGAAAAAAGATGAGTTTCGATTCATACGTTAGGAAAAGAAGTCCGTCCTCAAGACTCACCAGATTGGTGCACACTCCTGCAAGAGCCGTCAAAAATGAAGTTTTACAATAATCCGTGTTCACTTCTAAACTCCTTATTGGTGATACCAGTGGTAAAAACTGACTTTTACCTAACAATGTATAACAATCTTCATCATATTTACATCCATTCGAATAAGTCATCACCCTAAGACTGGTCAATTTCGCGCCATGATTCTTAAACATTGTAAATAACGCCAACATCAGGAGAAACACCGTTGTGTTTATTTTCGGTTTTTCTATTGCGTGCTTGGATTTCTGTTTTTCCGCCATGGTTCGTTTTTTCATCCCCGCCTTGCTATAATCTGCCTCCAATGTTCTCGTCTCCTGATTTGCAAAATATACCTCATTTAACCAATCTACCACCGACATAACCATCGGATAATAATCCAAATGTTTAATGTAAGATGCATAATCAAATATCGAAGGCATTGCGGGCGTGAACGGAAGTAAGAAATTCGGTCCCAATAGGTCGCACCTCTCCTTTACACTCATACTGGACAATAGTGTGTTTATGATCTTACTGTTACCGTGTTTTGTGTGTCCATATTTTATTCTTGTTTCTAATTTTGCACCTTTTTTATCTGATGTTTCTTCCAAGACTGTTTGGTTATGGAAGTTCTCGTGCGTTATGATTTCGCCTTTTTTAAATTCGACGGGGTTGATTTTCTTACGCCCAATATTCTTCTTTTCATCCTTTTTTAAGTTACATCCATCATGTATATTCTCAAAGTTTTTTTGGTGACACTTCCGTTTTATAAAGCTCACCCCGTTTTTCCTAGAATAAAATGGTTTCCGCCATATATACGGTATAACATTCATACAAAAATTTCTATTTACATATGCACATGAGTATAATGTCGACAATAGACCTGACGGGTCATTTTCGTAGTCCAGTTCAAGGTGATTAAAAATTTCTTCTAAAATATCTGACGGTAAGAAAGTCGATGAGGATGGTGGAATCGATGAGGACGACGATGAGAGCATTCTTGAAAAATCAAAAATCTTTGCGAGCATGTTTTTTTTATAGACGCAGTGGTTTTTTTTTTTTTTTTTGTTAAAAAAAAAAAAAAAGGAAAGAAATTCAAACAATGCGTACGTAATTTTTGTTTTTGAGTATTTATAAATCTAGAAGGGTACAATTAATATAAATCTAAAGTGTATGTAACTTAGGCTATAAGAAATTCCTTCTATCGGAAATTAGGGTAGTATCAGAGTGCCGTAAACGTGACAAAAGATAATAGAAATAAAATAATGGATCCTTTTATCGTTGTACGTGCGTATCTGTACGCACATCACGCCATTGATGCTAATTACGTAACATTTGTATGCCAAAATCCGTGCACATTCCTCAGCAATAATGGTGCTAACGCGAACTGCCAGCCTTCAGGACATGACCCGATCACCTTCATTAACATGAACATGTTTTTTATAAAATCACTCATTCCCAATGATCGTAAAGAATACTTCAGCTGATCAGAGTGATACCCAAAAGTGCTCTTAATTCTGCTAACCCTTTTTAGAGCCATAAAAGTAATTTGTCCTAGAATATCTGTATAATGACTAACATCACAATTCAATCATTGTTTTCAAAATTCTTTCTTGGCCAACGTAAAGTTACATTCGATCTAAAAATTGTCTCGTTTCGGTTCCGCAGTAGAATTGATCCAATCATATTTCTGTTTAAATTTGATACAGTACTTAATTTAATAGATTGACAGGTGATCTTCATATTGCATAGTAGAAAATAAATTATTATTAATTCATAATCATATTATCTTGATATGTGAATATCTCATAAGTCACAGACTTTTACATAATTATCTTTTTTTTTTTTTTTTTTTTTTTTTTTTAACCCACAATCATAAACTTTTACATGATTATCAATTTGTTTTTTTTTAACCCACAATCATGCCACAATGGTATGTCTTTATTAAAAAAATTGAAAATGAATTTACAATATTTTATAGACTTTTACAAAGTGACTAACTTGTCTTCATATAAAAGTACTCTAAGTTAGATTTTGGGGACAATATTTCACTCCCCTAATAGATTGGTAATAACCTCTATCTACCAGGA